AGCGGCTGCTGCTAGGGCTGGTCCGGTCTTGCCTGTTTATATTTGGTGTCCTGAAGAAGAAGGGCAGTTCTATCCCGGCCGGGTTTCCCGGTGGTGGCTGAAGCAGTCTCTTATCCACTTGGGAAACTCTATCAAATCACTTGGTGCTGAACTCATCCTGATCAAGACTCACAGCACCTTCGATGCTCTTCGGGACTGTGTCAATTCCATTGGTGCAACCAGAGTGGTCTTCAACCATCTCTATGGTGTGTGTTCTCCCCTCCTTTGAATTCTGATTCCCTGGTTCATTTGCTTAATATTGCCATGTCTTGTAGTTGATAATGCATGTTAATCAATTACTTCTCCATCTATCTGCGTAGATCCGGTATCTCTGGTTCGTGATCACAGTATCAAAGAGAAATTGGGGGAACTTGGAATTTCCGTGCAGAGCTATAATGGAGATTTGTTATATGAACCCTGGGATATATATGATGAACAAGGACATGCTTTAACAACGTTTACTTCATATTGGGAGAAGTGCTTGCATCTGCAGATGGAGCCTGTCTCACATCTTTCTCCATGGAAGCTGGTGCTTGCTACAGGTAGATTTGTGTTCAGTGTTTACTTTGGATAAAGTGATTTTGTTATTCATTCCCCCAATTTTATTTTTGTTTGCTATATTGCAGGTACAGTTGAAAAGTGTTCAGTGGATGAACTTGGTCTGGAAGATGAGTTGGAAAAAGCAAGCAACTCTTTGTTAGGAAGAGCATGGTCTCCAGGTTGGGGTAATGCTGCTAAATCCCTAACAGAATTTGTCGAACGACATTTAATTAACTATTCAGAGAACAGACTTAAGGTTGGAGTGGATTCAACTTCTCTCTTGTCCCCATATCTCCATTTTGGAGAGCTGAGCGTTAGGAAGGTTTTCCAATGCGTTCAAATGAAGCAACTAGCGTGGGAGAAAGAAGAAAACGCGAAAGGGAAAGACAGTGTGACCTGGTTTCTTAGGTCGATTGGGCTAAGGGAATACTCTCGTTATCTTTGTTTCAATTTCCCATTCACCCACGAGAGATCGTTGCTGGGGCACTTAAAGTACTTCCCTTGGAATGCCAACCAAGCCCATTTCAAGTCTTGGAGACAAGGAAGGACTGGTTACCCTCTCGTTGATGCAGGGATGAGGGAGCTATGGGCAACTGGTTGGATGCATAACAGAATAAGAGTTATCGTGTCGAGCTTCTCTGTCAAAGTTCTGCTCTTGCCATGGAGATGGGGAATGAAGTATTTCTGGGACACACTTTTGGATGCAGATCTTGAATGTGACATCCTTGGTTGGCAGTATATATCAGGAAGCCTACCAGACGGCCATGAACTTGAACGGTTAGACAGTCCTGAGGTATGGAAGTTCCCTCTGATTTCTGCATAACTATTTGAACCAACTTCTTATTTGGCTCTTTGAATTTGTGTGATCAACCAATGCTAAGGCGATGACTCTGGTGGTACTAGTACTAACTACTAACCCATAGCTTAAGATTTCACATTATCTTCATTTTCAAATTATGGTTTGCATGTTCTGTCTCTTCGCAAGGCCTGTGGATAATTGTGATTACTATTCTAGGTTATTCCCAACAGCCTATTTGAAATGCACAAAAACTTAGGAAATAGAATTCCGTTTCTCAAACTTCAAAGATTCTCTTGTTTGGAATGATAAAAAGTGCGAGGAATGGAAATCTAAGACACCGAACCTTAGGAATTTGAGATCCCATCAAAATTGGTGGGATTGGTGTGCCAAATGAAACTAGTTTCTCTAGTTCTTGTCAAACTTTACAAGAAACTCACTTTTCTCATGTGTTTATGTATATAAATAGACCATAAGAGTGATATCGGAAAATTATTTATGATAATTCATTTCCATCTCATTCTAAGCATAAACCGAAATAAGTTCCAAAATAGTAGGATTTATTTCAAATGAATTACTGAATTGGTTAAAAACAACTGGAATAGTTTCTTGTGCCTATCAATTTCGTCAAATTGAGTTCAGGTGCTATGCTGAAGAGTCTAACCATGTCAATGTCAATTTAATGTGAAGTAGATTTTTCTAGATACATGATTGGAAGAGAGATAAATCTAACTCAGTATGTATTACTTTGAAACAGATACAAGGTTCCAAATTTGACCCAGAAGGTGAATATGTTAGACATTGGCTGCCAGAATTAGCTAGGATGCCAACTGAGTGGATACATCATCCATGGGATGCACCTGATATTGTGCTCAAATCCGCTGGGGTCGAACTGGGACTAAACTATCCAATGCCTATAGTTGATCTGGACGTGGCTCGGGAGCTTCTGACATCAGCCATATTCAAGATGTGGGAAGATGAAGCAGCTGCCAGAGCTTCAAGCTCAAATGGGACAAATGAAGTTGTTGGTGACAACACAGGCATTGCGGATGGCATTCAAAAGGTCGTCTTGAGGGAGAAAGGCAATGCTCCTTGCGTTACTGTCTCCTCCAATGATCAGAAGGTTCCATCGTTTTATAACATGAACCAGAAGGATCCACACGGGAAGAAGAGGGCCAAATGCATGGAGGAGGGAACCCCTGGACCAGATAAGTTCCGGAATTGTAATGGTGCAGGGACTTCAAGGCCAGATGGAGATCTGTGCTCGACTGCTGAATCATCAGCAGCTAAGAAGCAGGCGACAACCAGCAGATGTTCGTTCTCGGTTCCCCAGTATTGTTCGTCGTCAGAAGGAAACAGCACAACGCTGGAATGTGAATCGTCCGAATTCAAGGATGGTAAGTGGGTTGCAAAACACTTTGCCTTTGGTATCTCTACTTTGGTCTTCCCATTCAAAAACCCGTGGATTCTGAATAGTCTGAATATCTTATGAAGTTGTCTTCCAACTTGCAGTTGCCATGGGAACTTGACGCTGCAGCATTCTTCTCTGACTCCGTCTCCTAAGAGAGGTTACTGGCAGTCTTCCATTGATGCATCGTTAACTGAACCTTAAACTGCTTATTTCTGGATGAACAAATTGATGATTCCATCAGTTTCTAAAGCCATTCCCTGTTGCTCGTCTGAGTTCCACGCATGCATGCAACCTGACAAGTGTTTTCTTTTCACGTTCTTAACATGTTTATAGGCCGATCAGGATGTTACTACATAGTCAAATAAAAACGAGTGCCCTTTCGTTGTGATCCAATGTCTGGTTTTTCCACTGTGGATCTTGTTATTCTTTGGCTGTAATGACTGGAAGGAGTTAATTGCGGAATTGAGCTGTTGCATGTCTCGGCTGTGGACGACATTTAGCGTTCCAGTTAAAGTAATGTGTCAGTAGGATGAAGTAGGCAATGACGGCTAACGTCTGCCTCCGTGATCCGTGTTGTGTAGACTACTAGAGCGCCACTTACGTTGGAGCTTCATTTGATGATGGTGGTTCATGAGCTTCCCTCGCGAGCTAGGCTCGTTTGGCTCATTTTCAAGTCATCATCGAACTGAGCTCGAGTCTTCAGACTAGCCAAGCTCGAGCTATAAGGCAAGTTGCAGCTGAGTCATTAATCAGTTACGAGTTTGGGCGAAGATGGGCAATAATTCGGCTCGATTGCATCCTTTACAGTCACTGTCAACTATCAGCTCTAAACCACCCAAAACAAACTTGGCGAAACTGAAACTGAAACTGATTGCAAGCTTCTTGACTCTAATGCCTTCTCCTACTTCAACTCCATTGATCCATCGTTTTTTTAACATCCTCCAAATGCAGAAAGGAGGTGATCAGCAGAGAGACCAAGATGGACTTTTGGACGCCACGAAAGGCTAATAATATTCCTTGTTCCTTCCTTCCACCACGTCTCAATTCATTGAAGCCGCCATGGCATCCACCCAGCTTGCTGAAAACAAAAAAGATATTTGTAGGCCATACTTTCTTTCTCGTTTCCCCACATAATTGACTTAGCTTGTTCACTGCCACACATTTTTGAGCAGAGGCTACGTGCCTGCCGACCCACAAGAGCAGCCAACTGCATATTGTCGTCCTCGTTCTGTACCTTGTTTTGTTCGGATCGGATCTCTTTAGATTGAGCGAAGTAAGCAAACTGCGATCCTTTCAATAGGATTCTGACCCTTTGCTTGCCCCATAAGTCGTGAGAAGCAAAGCCTCATATCATTTCTTAGCAAAGAAACAAGAGAAGTTGGGAACCAACACAAAAGTTATTATACGCTATCAAATCAAAGCTTTTTCCTCCTCTCATGTGGTGAATTGGACCAGAATCGGACAGCAATTCCATATTGATCGATTGCTCTGGATCTTGAGATTTGCATTGGGGCACCTGGTGCCTCTTCTCTTAAAAAGAATAAACAATGCAAGTGTGAATAGCATGTTTTGATACAAAATGCAGCTGGCTTGTAAAGTAGCTTTTACATTCTTTATTGGGAATCAAGATTTTGATGTTTTCAGCTAGGATATTCCTCATTTCATTTCTCATAGATATAGCATATTCCTCTTTTTTCTTTAAATTCATGGAAAATTGTTGTGTATCATTCAGTTCATATATCGACATGTCGATTTATCTATTTTGAATTTGCATCCTTTATAGTGGCTATACAATATTTTAGACGGGTTAATTGTATGGTTGGTCACTGAGATTACAAAAAACGTTCATGTTTGGTCACTGGAAATATTTAAATCCAACCTTGGTCACTCAAATTAGTTAAATGGTTCAAATTTGGTCACTCTCCGTCCAACTCCGTTAAATTTATCTGATGTGGCAGTCAACCCTCAAAGTTGACCGTTAACTCGGTGACGTGGCAATTAAAAAATAATAAATAAAATAAATTTTAATCATCTACCATTTCCAACTCATTTTCACAATAAAATAAAATAAAAATTATTATAATCACAAATCGGGCTCGGCCTTGTCGACGTTCTTTTCTCCGATCCCCTGAAACCTCCATTAATGAAGCGCCAGTACGATTACTCCATGGTCCCTCCAATCTATACAGAAAGTTCGCAGCTTTCGTTTTGCCAGAGTAAACCCCAAAAAACAGAGTGTACTGAGTGAAAGCCTTACTCTGTTTTTTTTTTACATTTTTTTGTTTACAAACAGAGCAATGTCGAGCTCATCAATTACCTTCTCCTCATTTGCCGTTGTGGGTTTGATCCTCCTCTTCGCCGCCGGACCCGCTTCCGCCCGGATTCAAATCCCGGCGAACGAATCCGTGCCGGCGGCTTTAGTGTTCGGCGATTCAATCGTCGATACGGGGAATAACAACAAGATCCTTACTTCCCCTGCCAAGTTCCCTTTGGTCATCATATTCCTTCTGATCATCTTATACGCCGTACCTGCCAGTGCAGCCATTCTGGCGCTGTACGTTCTCATCACTGTTCTGTTTGCCTTACCGTCGTTTCTCATACTCTATTTTGCTTATCCCAGTTTTGATTGGCTTGTCAGTGAAATCATCACTTGATATCATGGTATTTGCCAGCTACTTCATAATTCGATGACTTTACGAGGCTCAAATGTGGATCGCCATTGTGTATCTATGTAGATTATATATGAGCTTTTGTAATGAATCTCTTCTGCTTGCTCCCCATTGGTATAGGGTGTATGTTGGCAGCAGAGGTACTGGAGGCAGAAGCCATCTTCTGCACTGTACTGGTTTCTGGTCATTTAGAGAGATCTCTTTATGTAAGACAAGTTTGTGGTGATAGTGGATTAGGGAAATTGGTTTCGCATATATGTGTGATTAAATGCTACCATGCTAGTGCAGTCAGCTTCAGAATCAGTGGTTTCTCTGTTATACTCATCATTGCTTGGCCTTCTTCCTTTTTCACCATTGTAGTCTGACGCTGTCGAATAGCCTACCGTTACGATCCTGCCTTCGCCTCCTTCAACTTCAAGAATGAAACCGTCGAAGCTGCGGGGATGATGAGCCCGATTTCCATCCTAGACAGCAAGTCCTTCTCCTGCCTAACAAAACCCATTCTCCCCTGAACTCGCTTCTCCCGCCGCCGTCGACGCTCCCAAGCAGAGCCAGTACTAGGAAAACCTCGATTCCCCTAAAACCTCAATTTGTGATTATAATAATTTTTTATTTTATTTTATTGTGAAAATGAGTTGAAAATGGTAGAAGATTAAAATTTATTTTATTTATTATTTTTTAATTGCCACGTCACCGAGTTAACGGTCAACTTTGAGGGTTGACTGCCACATCAGAAAAATTTAACGGAGTTGGACGGAGAGTGACCAAATTTGAACCATTTAACTAATTTGAGTGACCAAGGTTGGATTTAAATATTTTCAGTGACCAAACATGAACGTTTTTTGTAATCTTAGTGACCAACCATACAATTAACCCTATTTTAGACCTTGCTCTATAAATTTCTTTGACATGCGACTTTGACAAAACTTTAAATAGAGTAATTTTATTATCAATTATCGAATTAAAAAGCATCATATATATCAAATGTTATATTTGATGTAGCTTGAGAGGTTCCAACCTGGTTGATTTTCAGTAAGATCAATCATGTTAAGCACCCTTTTCAGATACAAATGAAAATGTAATTAATTATTAAACTAAGAATTTAGTAGCCAACATAATCAAAATGGAGCGTTCTAAATATAAAGGCAAATACACTTGTATAGCCAAAACTTTCGCGTTTGTGTCAATAATAGCCAAATTTGGAGAAATACCACTTATAGCCAGATTTTCTATTGTTGTATGACAAATCTAGTCATTTCCGTTACAAACTTTAACGATGTTTGATATTCCGTCAGTTAGGTTAACAATATGCTGACTAGGACGCCAAATCATCGCACATGTCAGCAACATGACAAAAGGTCAACTGCCACGTAATTATTTTTATTTAAAAATAAAATAAAAACCCAAAAATAATAATTCATTATCCTTATTCCCTTTTCTTCATCGGAGCCTAACCCCAACCTTTTCCCAGCGGCCGCCCACCCCCTGCATCTCCTCCCTCCCTTCTGCATCTTGTGCTCATTCTTCCTCTTTCGCAATGGGCCACAAACACCACTCTTTTCTCTGTGCACCAATAATCTATGACAATCACAACTATCCTTTTCCCCTGCGTAGAGCATCAGATGCCCCTTTGGCGTCGATTTTGATTTTCCCATACAACAGCTCCTGCTCCACCTGCAAGTAGTCGGATTTTTTTGGAACGGAGCGATTCGATTACGATGGTCATTCGGCGACCCCAGTGGTGAGCTTCGTACTTGGCTTCGTGCGCCACCCTTGAAGGCCTCATTGCTGCTCGTCACTCTTCTGCTTCAGCAACCCGAATCAGGAGGCTTGGATTAAAGAAAACGTGTGACGCTAATCCCACCAGTGACCCGAGGAGAAGCACCCGTACCAGAATTTTCCTCGGATAGCTGGGCTTCCTGGCACCGAGCTCCATGAATGCGAGAAGCAGTCGAGTGATTTTGAAGAGAGAGGGGGAAGGGGAGGAAATCGAAAACCTATAATTGTTACCAAGAGCAAAAACCAGCGGTTGTGTTGTTAGCTCGTGGGTATTTATGTGGGAGAGGGGTTGAGATTGGGAAATAAACGAGAAGGACATAAGTGGATAGTAGGATTTTTAGGGGGAAGAGTTTCGATTCAAGCGAGAAGGAAGTCTGATGGTGAGAGACATAGAGCGGGATAGAGTGCGATTTAGGGGTTGAAGAAAACGGATCCGATCTCTGCGTGAAGGGATTCCATCTCCGGTTAGTAGTTTTAGAGGCAAACAGATTAGGCGCTCCGGGGAAATATCTGCTCGTTCCAGTGCCCACTCCTCCATCGCTGCTCGATCTGGAAGTGCCCCGAGGGTCCAAACTCGCCGCTGACGTCGTTGTCGAAGCATCTCCGTCTTGAGAAGGCAGATATGTTTACCAGAAGTTTGGACTTGACGAACGCATCGGAGCAAAGGTCGGCAACAAGAAGGAGATTAAAACAAGAAGATTGATTGGCGGATTTACCGATTTAGGCATTTTTGTATATAAAGGATTTGGGCGTTTTTGAAAGAAGAAAAGATTTTGTTTGTGGGTTGTCATCGTTCTGGGAAGAAGAAAATAATTTTTTCATGTTGTTCGTTGATGGAGATGAAGAATCAGAGAAAACGAGAGCGACCGTGATTTCCGAGGTGGGAAGGTGAAGAGGCTGTGGAAGACGACATGGATTGTTGTTTTTTTTATATTTTTTTATGAATTTATTGCTTGTTTATAATTTTTATTTAATTTAATTAAAATTAAAGAAAAAAATTTAATAATTTTCCACCTGTCATTATTTCCCAATAAAATATGCCATGTCAACAGTAGTTGTTAGTCTAATCACCATGTTAGATAACACCGTTAAAGTATTGGACGGAGTGGCTATAAGTGGTATTTCTTAAAATATGGCTATTATTAACACAAACACGAAAGTTTTGACAATACAAGTGTATTGTGACAATTACAAAAAAATGGAGCTTTCTAGAAGGGTTTTATAGGTCAAAGCACGTTGCAATCACGCGCTTCCTCTCTCACCCATAGTAGTCGGTACGTCTCACCAGTCACCAACAAGAAAGGACCGTGTTCGTACGGAAGTCCGTTTCCCCAATACGGCAACGTAAAGGCTATAATCGCAATTCGCACAGCCGTTAGATTCGACACGCGTCAAACTCTCATTACCCTTCCTTCCAACAGTTAGGCAGGTACGGAAATGGAATATCCCGTAAAACAAATTCTCTTTCCCATTTCCTTTTTCACCAGTTATTATTAATTCAACGAATCAAAATCTTCCACACCAGCATTATTTTGGAATTATAAAAAATAAAAGAAACCGAAATTCCATACTTATTCTTTATAAATAAATAACAGCGGCGAGGAGATAGGAAGCTGCAGCGAGTAGAGAGTAGAGAGTGAAAGTAATGAGCGCAGCCTTGAAAAGAGACTACCAAATCTGCGAGGAGATCGGGCGGGGCCGCTTCGGCACCGTCTTCAAGTGCGTCTCCCGCTCCACCGGCGACTCCTTCGCCGTCAAATCGATCGACAAATCCCTCACCGCCGGCGACTCCCTCGACGCCCAGTGCCTTCTCACCGAGCCCAAGGCCCTGGCGCTCGTCTCCCCGCACCCTCACCTCGTCCAGCTCCACGCCACCTACGAGGACGACTCCCACCTCCACATCGTCACCGATCTCTGCCCCAATTCAGACCTCCACGCCCTAATCCTCGCCAACGGCGGCGCGTTCCCCGAGCGCGAGGCCAGATCTATTTTCGCCCAATTGATGACGGCAGTCTCCCACTGCCACAGGAAGGGGGTGATTCACAGGGACGTCAAGCCGGACAACGTGCTCTTCGATTCGTGGAATTCGGTGCGGCTGGCCGATCTTGGGTCGGCGGCGGTGGTGGCTGGAGCGGAGGCGGCGGCGGCGGCCGGAGTTGTGGGTACGCCGTACTACGTTGCTCCCGAGGTTTTGTCCGGGTGGGAGTACGGTGAGAAGGTGGATGTTTGGAGCTGTGGAGTGGTTTTGTACATAATGCTCGCTGGGTTTCCGCCGTTCTATGGGGAGACGGCGGTGGAGATTTTTGACGCCGTGTTGAGGGCGAATCTTAGGTTTCCGACTAGGGTTTTCGGGTCGGTTTCACCTGCGGCGAAGGATCTTTTGAGGAGGATGCTGTGTAAGGATGTCTACAGGAGGTTCTCTGCCGAGCAAGTGCTCAGTAAGTTCTTTACTCAACACTCTGTTTTTTGCTCCGTTCATCAGAATTTCCCCCCGTTTCCTTCAATTCCAAACACAAAATCAACGGATTCCCTCTGGAAAACAAACCCTTTCATCTCTGCTTACGGTTAGAACATCCTTTAACATTTTTCTTTCCAAATCTGTTGCAGGGCATCCATGGATGACAGGTGGTGGAGAGGAACCTGAATCAGAATCAATGAGATCTTTCTAGACAAGAAGAGTAAATAGAGTGACTGCGGCTTGCAAGAGATTGTGTGTATTGTACAGGGTATCAGGCGCTGCTACTGCTTGGTTTACTGGCCGCCTTGTTAGTAGTTTTTTTGTGTAGATACGTGGATATCGAATGGATGGTTTACTGGTTCTCTCTGCTTCTGCTCTAAGTTTGGTAAAGAGAAGAAGCAATTTTTCCTTGTTTTATTTTCGTTTGGGTCTGTCTCCCTGTGTGTTTTTGCCCCGTAAAGGGATTTTGACTTTTGAGCCAGGCAGCCATTACTATTCCTTCTGCTAGTATAGTAGTAGCAGGAGATGTAATGAAGAGGAAGCGAAGCAGCTTATCTGGCTTTAATGGCGGCTTCGTTTCAGGGGGATTTGGCTAATTATGAGTAATCTTGTACGGAATATGCGCCTCTATAATTATAATAATATAATGGAAATGACTGGAAAAAATAGGGTTTTGCTTGGATTCCGTGGATCATCTCCTGCGATTATGGAAAAAATCCAAAACTACCACCGTTTAAAAAAAAATTACAAAAATACCACCCAGACCAAATAATTTCCAAAAATACCATCATTTATTAAAAACCGCTCACGGAATAAGCGGTTTAATATAAAACCGCTAATCAAGGCGGCGGTTACAGCGAAAAACGCGCCCCCAAGGCGCGGTTTGACCTTGCATGGCTGTCAAACCGTGTTACCACGTGGCGGTGCATCAAACCGTCAATCAGAGGAGCGTTTAGACGGATAAAACGTGTGCCAAGTCAGCAGTCCGTGTCTTCCACAAAAACCGCCTGCCCGAGACGCGGTTTGACCGTTGAGAAAATGAAACCGCGTGTCTGATGCGCGGTTTGACTGTCGGGAATCTAAAACCGCGTGCTGGGGGTGCGGTTTGTGGTGGCGACCCCCCTCTTCTTTTTTCTGCACACCATCCACCTCTCTCCCTCTCTCCCTCTAACTTCTCTCTACCCAACCCCTTCCCACCCAACCTTAGAATTAGTTTTTTTGTTGGTTGCGGCTAAGTCCGATCTGCCTCCAAAATACTTTTTCTTTGGTTTTCACTAAAAAACCGTCGAACCTCTGTCCGGATTCCGAGAGAATGGCCGATTTCGCTCAAGAAGAGGGTCTTTTTTATGATGATTATCAAACGGTACGTACTCATTTTTCCCAATTGTTGTTGTTGTTATAATGATTTATTTAATTTATATACTAATGATTTATGTTATTGTTATGCTATCGTAGGTTGGGCCGAATGTTGATATTTTCAATCAACTATATTATGTTGATCAAGGACCGATTGATCCGACAGTTTTATACGATCAAGCAAATCATCGTTCAAGAGACGTTTGGAACGACCACCAGGTACATATTATTTATCATCATTTGTAATTTGTATTTTGTTAAAGTAATTTATTTGTTGTACAATAATTTACTTAATTGTTAATCGTATTGATTATATTCAATAATTTAAATCAATACAATACAACACTTATTGAGACTCTGTTATAAAGAAATGCATGCCTAAGGAAATGGGGACTTAAGCGATCATCATGATCCCCCCATGACCTGGGAAAATCGGGTTCGAAGCGATCCTCGGATCCCCCCTTTTTCTGTCAAAAAGACTGTGTTTCTAAGGAGATGTATACCTCTCCTAAGAGTCTTACGAGTGTACTTGTATTGCTTTAAATTATTGAAAATAATCAATACGATTAACAAAATAATATATTTGATTTTATGTGTACCAAAAATATTTATACTTAAATTTCGAAGGCGAGGCGAGAAAATGGTGCCAGGGTTAGACACCTCCAACGCCAAAATCAATTTGGGAAGGAATGCATATGATTCTTCCCAGTCACCAAACACGGCAGCCATTGCTTTCTGTTTCCCATGCCATGCTTTCTTGTAGTTAATGATATAACCATAATGACTAGAAATGTGGGCGATGATGGTTTTGACCTTAAGGTCGGGCTGCTCCTCAATTAGATGTTTGATAGCCGCGGCAACCACCCTTGATTTCAACTGTCGATGGCCTTGGGATGTTATTGATGACACACATGTGTGTGTGTTCACCGCACGGGATATGACCCAATGGCCGACTCTCTTGCTCTTGATAGCCCGAACCCTAGCTTTGCATCCCTCATTTTCATTTCTGCATCGAACCAGCAGCCTCTTTGTGTCGGAATGGGTTGTTTGCCATTCAAAACTCCGAGTCATTGCTTCAGTGGAAATAGCGTGCCGGACCTCATTCTTCGTTGCAAATTGTTGGCCCTTCGTAAAGCCAGTTAGTGGACCCCATACTGGCACATCTGGCGGGTCCATGTCGTCATCAACATACCAATCTTCACTTTGAATGTGATTGTAGTATGGAATAGGTACACGGTCGTGAGCTACCTCATCACCATCTGCGTCTGAATCTGGGCCGGAATCATCAGCACCCTCCAACGGATCGTCGCTGTCTGCACTAACTTCGCCTTCCTCTTCTTCATCCTCAGGGTCACTAACTGGACTTGGATTGACCTCTTCTTCCATCTGACTACCAGCATGAAAGGCACCTTCACCTTCACTAGCTCCGTAATGGTAGTTGTGGTAACTAACACCGCTTTGATAGAAGTTGTAGTCGGGTGGGTACTGGTAGCCTGCTTGTTGGTTGTAATCCGCCTGTTGAGCTTCTTCTTCATATGAAGGGAAGGATTGATGAATTCCTCCAGTACCATGATGATACTCCTGCCTCCAGCTCGACTCTTGGAAATCCTGGTGGGGATGATTTTCGTATAATACACTCCCACCGTGGATACCAGATGTTTGGCCATCTCCAGAATGACCTACACTGCCTTCGACGACTTGGAAATCCTGGTGGGGATGATTTTCGTATAATACACTCCCACCGTGGATACCAGATGTTTGGCCATCTCCAGAATGACCTACACTGCCTTCGACGACCTCGGTGTAAACGAACATCTCCGCTTGCTTAATTTTATTGGTGGTCAAAAATTGGACCATGGCATCAACGTCCTCCTGAGTGGTAAGGAGGAATTCCTCATGCCACAGCGACCCGTCATGTCTGTTTGGATATCGATACACCATTCGATCAACTCTTCTAGTGCCATCCATGCAGGTAATCTGAGTGCACATTTGATGGAGCTCTTCAAGCATCGGTCTCGTACGGACCTTCATTTTATAAAAATTGCCACCGACGTAACTTACACCCTTTTCGGTCTCTTCCGTGTAACCATTCCACCGCAACCCAAGCGTGAACCTTTGGAATGCCATCTGCAATGAAAAGTAATTAAGTTACTAACATAAAATCACAAATGACAATGAAGAGTAATTAAGTTACTAACATAAATTCACAAATGACAATGAAAAGTAATTAAGTTACTAACATAAAATCACAAATCTGCAATGAAAAGTAATTAAGTTACTAACATAAAATCACAAATGACAATGGAAAGTAATTAAGTTACTAACATAAAATCACAAAGGACAATGAAGAGTAATTAAGTTACTAACATAAATTCACAAATGACAATGAAAAGTAATTAAGTTACTAACATAAAATCACAAACGACAATGGAAAGTAATTAAGTTACTAACATAAAATCACAAAGGGCAATGAAAAGTAATTAAGTTACTAACATAAAATAACAAAGGACAATGAAAAGTAATTACGAAACAAACTTACGAATAAACGTTAATCGCAAAAACTAAATAATTTAAAGCTGAAATTTTAAGAAGGAAGAGGAGGAGGTGTGAAGAATTGAGTTCTCTGAAACCGCCTTTTATAGGCAAAATTTTGCACCAAAACCGCTGGGGGGGGGGGGGGGGAGCGGTTTTGGTCTGCCATGAAGCCCTACGTGCCCTACCCCCTGCATGCCGACATGTCCGACATGTTGGCTGTCGGGTGACCAGGCACAAACTGCTCCTTGGGGCAGCGGTTTGTGTCCTGACACTATAAAACGCCGCTTGGAGGAGCGGTTTGTGTCCTGACACTATAAACTGCCCTTTGGGTAGGCGGTTTGTAATGCCGACACATAAACGCTCTTTCCTAAAGCGTTTTGTGGTAGGGTCAGCCTATAACCGCTCCTTCCAAGAGCGTTTTGTTCTGGAAATTAAAAACGCTTTACCGAGGTGCGGTTATTATCTAAAACGCTTCCTAGAAGTGCGGTTTAAGTAAAAACCGCTACATAGAGGCGCGGTTTTAAATAAAGGATGGTATTTTTGGAAATTATTTGGAGTGGGTGGTATTTTTGTAATTTTTTTTTAAACTGTGGTAGTTTTGGATTTTTTCCTGCGATTATTTGCTAATTTGGGTGGATTATTTGGGCATTGCTATTCGTCGCCCTAAATTACCTTATTCGTCGCCCTAATTTTTATCAAAATGACTAAAATATCCTTAGTTTAGTTTGTATCTCATCTCTATTTCCTATTTTCAGAGGACTTTCCATATCCGGGGTTTTTTCGTAACCGCCGTTGGAACCAGCGGATGGATTGAAAACTCATTTCCGGCGAGTTGAGAACAGGTCGGCTTTCTTGATGGTCGGTTGGCTGAATCCCTTTCCCCCTTCCCTTCCAATTATATGATATGCATAAGCAAATAGCTAATGTGGACGGCTGCAACTGCAAAGCATAAAGCTGTATTTTTCCCCTAATGAATATAAAGTTGTCTTTCTCCAATGGAATCAGAGTCCTCTTACTGCGAATGGTTTAACCAAGAAAAAGAATTCTAAGGAATCCAAAGACATTATTTAATGAATCATATATACAGAGAGATCCAAGTCTTTGACCACTCTTTATCATATTGCACATATATTTAATCAGTAGAATCTGGCAGCAACAGTAGAATCCGGCGGTGGTCAGCTGTTGGCGAGAGGAATCTGGCAGCGGCAGCAGCGAGCGGAGGATAGAGGAGCTCGGCGATGGCTGGCAGGGTAAGAGACTGTTCGTAGGTTTTGGTTAGAAATTGAGACAGGAGGGTAAAAGGGTCAATTATGTGCATTTTAGGGCGACAAACTTTGAATTTTAGGGCGACGAATAGCAATTCAGGATTATTTTCAGTTATGTTGTGTGTAGACATGGTCTTATCTCTTGTTATTCTCGTCCAATTTGATTCAAAGTTCTCTCTGTCGTTATTGTTTGCAGGCTTGTAGTAATCTACACATAATATAATACACCGAACGGAAAAACGGGAGCCCCATTTCAAATTTCCTGCAACGAGAGTGAAAGTAGGAAGGACATTTTGGTCTTCACACTTACTTTTTTTAATTCATTAAAAAGACACATAGTGGGATTCGAACCATGACCATTTTAAGGAAAAGTAAGGATCATAACCAATCACACTAAGTACATTTGTTGCATCTTTTTAAATTAAAAAGATATAATAGCATAGAGGAAAAAACCCTTCCCCCATTTCAAAATTCCTGCTCCAGGAGCGTTTGTAGGAATGATAG